CATTGAGGTCAGCACTTGAACAGCTGAGCCTTCTAAGACCGAAGGAAGCGGGAGCTATGCTCTTGTCTCATGTACAGTATGTAACCACGCAGCCTACTCATACAATCGGTCAGCTGACTGTTACGTATACTTTGAATTTGTGGGGAGATCCTGTTGGGATGGACAGGAGAGATTTCCTGCTTAATCGCAACTTGTGCCAGATGATTGGCCCATCAGTAACCCAAGTGTCATAATAGTTATAGTATAGCAGTGAGTCATGATTTACAAACTGTGTAGATGAACAACATTAGTTAGAGACATTTGCATTTTGGGGATTTTTTTTTTGTACACAAACAAATAAATGCTTTTGCAATTATGTTAACCTAATAGCAAGCCTCTATTTTAATTTGTTTGAAACTCACATTGTTAAAGCTTGTAGCCATCTTTTTACTGTCTCTTATCAATGCATTGCTGTGTTTAATAGTGCAATGCACTGCTGCAAACTGTTACAGCAGGCCTCTGCAGTCGGCAGACAGTAAGCTTGTGTTGTAAAAAAACAAACAAATGCAGTTAACAACTACTCATGTGATTGAGTATTGCACTTGCATGAAGCTGGGGGACATAACGCAACTCAATAGCATCATTCATTATGAGTCAAATTAGTTGAGTTCTCCTTTTAATATAAAACTTGCTTTTCAAGTGGTCAAAAATACCACAAAGCACCTTTAAAATAATTTTAAAGTCTATATTTGAATGTACTGTACCTTGGGATCTCCAGAGAATGGGCTCCACCTTTGGATCCAACCAGGTACCTTCCAGAAGACATGTCCAGGAGCATATCATCTTTATACCTATAGTAGAAGAGATGTACAGCTCACCAGAAACATGTTGAGCCATAATAGACCACATTTTTAGTATCAGTTTTCTATTATCATCACAACTAAGATCTAGTATTATGATATCATACCTAAAAGGAACAATGTATAGGAAACCCTGTCTCCAAGAAACTATGCATATGTGCAACTAAAGTGCAACCACAAAAGTTAAGTGACTTCAGAAACAATATGTTTACTTAAATTTCACCAAAACCATTATGTTTCATTAACTCAAAGGTTTTTGTTGTGTAAACCTAACCAGAGATTCTCGATGTAAATGCTTATCTCCGGTGTGATAGCTGTACACTCGCCATCCACCCCAACCACCTTGTAGTGAATTCACTGCTGTTAGTAAGTGTGCAGCTTCATTCATTCATTAAAAAGCCTCCACATAATCCTGCCAGCATTTCTAACAAAATGTGGATCCTGTAAAAAAAACAGTAGTTTTAGTTCTTACTCACCATTTAACAGTAGGCATAGGGAACCCATCAACAGTACAGAAGATTTTGATTAGAGTGTTTTCGAACACGGTGTGGGATCGGAGTCTGAACAGGAAGTGTGGTCCCCTGATCATGGGCTCTTCATGCACATATTTGTCCACTGCCTTTCTCTTTACCTAAACAGGCAAACAAGGATACCAACAAATATTGAACTAATGAATAGAAAACAAACCATTGTGGTCAACTGCCATTGTATGAGCTCAGGCAAACATAATAACACGGTTTTAATCCATTGTTTATATGCATAGGGTGCTTTTATAGATTCTTACCACTTCCTGGATGTGCATCTTTGTTTTGTGCTCATATCTTTCCTCCATCGCCTCAGAGCTGAAGACAAATAGTAAGTTTTAGGAAAAATAAATGGATTTGAGTAAATTCTTAAAAATACTTGGAATTTTGAATGTGCACCTAATGAGTATGTAAGATGTATAACATGAACATTTGTTAAAAAACAATCTAAAAAGCCATATTAACATAATATAATGGTGCATCTTTATAAACATTTGCAGCAAGTAGCACTGGGTTCAAATCAGTAATAACTGTTTATGAGCAATGTTGCATCAAAACATGTGGACAGCAGTTGTTCTAAATCTTGCCTGTCAAACTAACAAGAATCCAAAGCAGCATTACTGTTGTGCTAAAGTGTGTTTTTTAGCTTTCAAATACTGGTGGTATAACCAGTGCTTGACAGGGTTTATGATCAGATTGCCCATAGTTTCTTCCAATTTACATAACTATGAAAACACTTTAATGACCAAGTTAAGAAATGAAAGTTATCCCTAGTTCTGTGAAGAAAGCATGAGGCAAGCTCTGCAGGCGTGTTTGCTATTTTCTGCCAAGCAGCGCACAGAAATTTGCAATTATCAGTAAAGTCGGTCAGTTCTGATCCACCAATCAGACTTGTTGATTCATGGGCTGATGTAACCCAGCCGAGCATCCACGGAGATTTATGAAGTGGCTCTGTGAAGTTTAGAGTTTGTGTCTGTAGTTACTGAATTGGGATTGCAAATTTACACTGATGTTGCTTAGACAGCAGAAGCCTTGTGCTTTGAACCTCTGCCATGACAGCTACATAAGGCAAAAAGGCATAAACATAAAGAAGGCTGGACACTTTCCAAGGCCATCGTAGGGACAGGAAGAGAAAGCCTCACTGACTGATCTTACACACTATCAACCCACACTCACAGATGACTAGCTTTTGCCCTCAGGAAGGCTATTGTGAATGAAACCGCTGTGTTTTGTGTCTTAGAGAGTTACCTGATGTTTTTTGTGACGCAGTGTCTGTATATTAATTTTAGCTGTGGTTCTTATTGATTTTCATGTTTGGCATGAACAAGTTACAACTGTTTACAAGAAACAATGTAGCAATTAACTACAACACACCCCGTTTTCTTTTTTGCACATAGCCTCATCCTGTTATGAGCAGACTATGCCACTGAGATAGATTGTCAGCAGGAGAGACTCAGCCAGAAGCAGGAAACTTTGAGTGTGTGTGTCTTTCATCGGTGTTGTCTATAATGTGTTCAGGCCAGAGGTCATTTCACACTGTCACCAGAAAACAGAGGAGAGTGCAGGGCCCTCCAGAGTCAATGGGTTCCTGAAAGCTGGCAGCAATAGATGACGCAGTTGGTGTGGATATCTGTCACTGTGATGAAACCGGGGCAGGAGAGAGGCAATGTTGCATACTGACAGAAAAGCGAGGTCAATGGATGCCAGGTTGGGGTTTAACAGCCATTTACTCATTCTGTGGAATTTGTTTGTCCTAATTGGTGAAACAAGTTACATGCAAATTTCAGTGTGCTGCTCTGAAGAGGAGAGTCAGCAAACAGACTGTATGTTTTTTTTA